CGGCCGTCCGAACCCGCCCCCCGCCCCCCGCCCCTCCAGCCTAGGTCCTGGCCATGAGACCCTCGCACCTCCACCTCTCGGTCGCCTCTGGCGCGGTGGCCCCGGCGAAGCTGCTGCTGCCGCTGCTGATGGCGCAACTCTGGGGTGAGGCGGGGGACAAGGCCTGGGGTGAGGCTGGGGACCGGGGACACTGGGAGAGTGATCTCTCAGCACCCACGCTGCGCGCAGCGTTCGCGCCCCTGGGACCCCGGCGCAGCCCACCTGCCTGGAGCAGGCCCCGCCCCTCTCGGCTGCGCCCCGCCCACGACACGCCCACGCCCAGCCTAGCTCCGCCCACGCCACGCCCCTTCTTACTCCGCCTCGTATCCCACGTCCCGCCTCATAGCCGCTTTTCACCGTTGCCCCTTTGCCCCGCGCGGTGCGTTAGCCCCACACCTGCTCCGCACGTGCTCCCTTCACACGCTGTCCCTTCCGTCCCTGCCCCTGCGGATCCCCCAGCTGCTCGCGCTCGGCAGCCCTTGCCCTGCCGCGCGCTGCCCGCCCTGATCCCCTCCTTTGTCCAGCCGCACAGGCGCTGCTCCCCGGAAACGACACAGGCTCGGACCCCGAGGCGTCTGGCGCCCCGTGCCCGCGCGGCTCGCAGCCCTGGCAGGTGTCCCTCTTCAATGGCCTGTCGTTCCAGTGCGCGGGTGTGCTGGTGGACAAGAGCTGGGTGCTCACGGCGGCGCACTGCGGAAACAAGTAGGGGGTCCCCCGGGGGCGCCACGGGGGCTGTAGAGGGAGGGGGCGGGGAGGGCCGGGACGCTATTTGAGTGTGTGAGACTCTCCCAGCGCGATGTGGGGGGCGGGGGGATCAGTCCTGGAAGGCTTCCCATAGGAGGAGAGATGCAGCTGCGCCGTGGCCGCCAGGGGGCGCTGTGATCCCTCTCGGCGTTTCTAGGCTCGTCTGTCACCTCTGTCCGGCTGATCTCCTCGGGTTCCTTTTAAGTGTAGACAGCTGTGTGCAACAGACAGCAGTCAGGGTCAGGTGTGGTTAGGAATTCAAGCAGAACTCAGGGACCCAAACACCTGATCGTTCCTCCCCTGTCCCAAGAATTCAGGTTCCCAGCTCTCTTCTCCCCCACTCACTCCCCCCTCAGACCCGGGAGTCCCCGCCTCCTCCTCTGCCAGGGCCCAGGGGTCTAGCCCACCCCACTGCCTGACCCTCCTTCCCAGGGACTCCGAGTTCAGTACCAGGCCCCACAAAAGCTCTGCCTCCTGATGGCTCTTCCTTCCCCAGGCCGCTGTGGGCTCGAGTTGGGGATGATCACCTACTGCTTCTCCAAGGCGAGCAGCTCCGCCGGACCGCTGTCTCTGTGATGCACCCCAAATACCACCAGGGCTCGGGCCCCATCCTGCCGGGGCGGACAGACGAGCATGACCTCATGCTGCTGAAGCTGGCCAGGCCCGCTGTGCTGGGGCCTCGCATCCAGACCCTGCGCCTGCCCTACCTCTGTGCCCGGCCCGGGGACCAGTGCCAGGTGGCTGGCTGGGGCACCACGGCCAAGCGAAGAGGCAAGAGCTAGGGGCCCTGTACCTCGGGCAAGAGGGACTGGGGTTCTAGACTCCTGGGTCTGAAGAAGGAGAGGGCTGGAGCTCGGGGCCTGAGATGGGTGTCTGGATGCACTCTTGGGGGTCCTGGGAGACTGGGGCTGGATCCGAATAACCTAGTGTCTTCTCCCCATAGTGAAGTACAACAAGGGCCTGAGCTGCTCCAGGGTCACCATCCTGAGCCCCAGAGAGTGCGAGGTGTTCTACCCCGGCGTAGTCACCAACAACATGATGTGTGCAGGACTGGACCAAGGCCAGGACCCCTGCCAGGTAGGGACTGGCCAGGGAGGGTCTCCACTTCGTAGGGGCAAGCACAGAGACATTATGGGAAAACGGAAGACCCCGCCCTTGTCCGCAGCCTCATAGCCACCCCAGCCAAACGGTCAACCCTATCCAACACTCTCCTTCATCTCTATCACCAAAAGAACATCCGAACCGATATAAAAATTTTATGAGTTTATCTGAGCCAAGATTTGGTGGATGTGCCTGGAAGCAAGATCCCAAAGGACTGAGAAAAAGCTTCAGAGAATGGCAATTTATCCTATATATTTAGAGTCAAAGGAGGGTCGTAAGGAGGCTGCGTGCCATACGTCACTGGTAGATTAAGGAGGCGGCAGGAAGTGAAGGGCAGGGACTCTAGGACAGGACACAAAGTAACACGGAGAGATACATATCTTCTGCACTGGTGGCTACAGGAGGGCTCACATTTCTCCTTTAAGATACCAGGTACCGAGATGGGATGCAGGCCACAAGGTAACGAGAGGCTCTGTGGTCTTGTGCTCTGGGGCCAGTGATTGTACCTCCAAGGGGTTTGGAAACGATTACTCCCACATTTTAAAGGCACGTTACCCTAGATGCCTCAGAACAATGGACAGGATTTGATTAAGGTAAAAATAAAAAATTGACCTTTGGTAAGGAAGCTGTAGGTCTGGGGCGTAGTAGGTCTGGGACGTAGCAGGCCATGACCTGCCCAGGTAAGAATTTGTGATCACACATGCCGTGTGGGTACTTTCGGTCTCTGAACTTGTCAGACCTGCCATGTCGACCCCTGAGCTCGTCGGGTATGTAACATAGCCCCTTTTCCACTCATGTTCCCATATCCGGCTCTGCTTCCTGGGGTCCGTCTTCTCATGCCAAACCCCGTCCCCAGCCCTACTCCCTTCCCACGCTATCCCGAACCTCGTTCACATCCTCAAACGACTCCCGAGTCCCCACCCCAACTCTGTTTCTAGATCCATCTCTATCTCCTCATCGGTCAGGAGCTAGACTCCCAGCATCACCAAGTCTCCGTCCTCATTGCCCAATTCAACACCCATCACCCGTGTCCGGCTCCAGCCCATCCCACCGCCGACTTCATAGTTAATCCCAGCCCCACCCCAGCCTCATCTTTGTCCCCACCCCTGCCTTCCCCACCGCTGCCGCAGACCCCAGTGGCAGCCCTCGCGCTGGTATATTTATTCGCTCTCTCTTTCCTCCCACCCCAGAGTGACTCTGGTGGCCCTCTGGTCTGTGAGGACACCTTGCAAGGCATCCTTTCCTGGGGCGTTTACCCCTGTGGCTCTGCTCAGCACCCAGCTGTCTACACGCAGATCTGCAAGTACACCCCCTGGATAGAGAAAACCATTCGCTCCAACTGACCCAGAGGTCCCGCGACCCTCCGCCGGCTGTCGTCCTCCTCCAGCAGTCCGTGGGGCTGTCTCCCGCCACATTCAAGCCTCTGCCGCCCAGCTTCCCCTGCTCACATCTCTGCTCTCCCCTCCTCCCCCTGCCCACTGCTGTTCCAAGCCTACGTTGAAGCCGGAGTGCAGAAAATGCGGGCAAAGATTTGTTCAAGACAGATGCGGAAGCGGGCGGTCCCCCGGGGTCTGAGGGACGTCATCAATCACCCAGCCTGGCTTCCTCCACCACTCCCTGCTGTGTGAGCTGAGGCGAGCCAAGGGCCCTGTCTGGGCATCAGTTTCCTCATCTGGAAATGGAGACAGAGAGGTGCCTACCTCATAGACATGTTGCGAGGGGACCGTGACATAATGCGTGTGCACAGATCGTCACGGTCATTCTCAGTAAAGCATCGGCACAGTGGGTGGCGAGCTCTGACTAAACGTTACGTGTTGTTGTGATCTATGAACAGGTCACGGTGAGAACGTGTGTGACCCTGTGTCCTGGGGAGAAAAGCACGGGGGTAACCCCCAAGCCTGCCCCGCCCTCCCCCACCATCCCCATCCGCATCCCTCGGCATGGATGGGAGAATCACATTCTCCACCTTCTTTAAGTTCCATGAAGCACCTCTTAACCACTTCCTTCTTCCCTCCCACCGCTTCCTGTGTCTGGGTCCACCCAACACCAGTTCCTCCTGTCCCAGCAGGGGCTGGGCCAGCTCTGAGTCATCCAATATCTTCTCTGCCTTCCTGGGGCCACCGGAACCTCAGGGACATCACCCTGCATCCCACCCCCCCACCCTGCACCTGGCCTCTAAGCCCAGAGAACTCTTCTCCCCCACCCCAGCGGCTCAGTTCACTCAAAGAAGCCCTGTGAAACGTGGGGAAAGCTTTTGGGTTTGTCTACGAGCTCCATCTCCATCCCCTCATCAACCGAGAGCTAGAATCCCAGCTGACTCCATCCCCACGCCCATCCCAAATGAGCTTTGAGGTTTCGCGGGGGAAAAGGCGGGAAGAGGGGTTCTTTTCCTCTCACGAAACTGACTCAGGGTACATTTCCTGCTTTTTCCTGGGCTGGGGGCGGGCAGAACCCAGGGCGAGCTAACAGGTGCACGGCCATCTCGGCTCAGCCTGGACCTTGGCGCCGTTACGCCAACGGGACATGTTCTCGATAGGAAATTTCCATCCAGCACGGGTTGTCTGTTTCCTCTTTCGAACACCGGTTTGTCGAGCATGTGTCACGCACGGCAGGCCCGGGGCTGGGCTGGGAACGGAGAGTTGACCGCAAGGCCCCTGCCCTTACAGGTCGCTTGACCGGTGCTCAGGGTTGCTCCGCTGACTCTTACCCAGGATCGCCTTAGCACATCCAGGAAATGTCAGTCATGTCAGCCGAGTTTGTTATGTTAGGATCAGAAGCGGGGTAGGTGGGAGCTCGAAAACTTGATTCATTTTTAAAGGCACTTCACTCATTCCTTTAGTCATGCCTGTGCCAGGTCCTGGAGATGAATCAGAGCGAGCCCTACCCTCAAGGAGCTGCTAGTCAGGTCAGGGAGACAGGCGAGCCTTACATTCTTGGCATTCAGGCTTCCACTCAAAGGTCACCTCCTCAAAGAGGCCCTCCAGGATTGCCTTGGCTAGACGGGTCCCGACCAGCCACCAATCCATCGCTTTGTTTATTTCTTTTACAGCACTTGTTGTAGCCAAAATGATCTCATTTATTTGTTGACTCTATAATGATCTGTCCCCTCCCTCTTCCCACCCGGCCCATGAGGGTAAAGACCCTGATTTATTCACTGTGGTTTTCCAAGCACCTAGTACAGTGTCTGGCAGGCAGAAGCCACTCAACAGATCGCTGAGTTAACAAATAACACGACTTGATCGATGCCGTCACAGAAAGAGGTATAGGGCGCCCTAAGGAGAAGTCCAGGACTCGGGAATGTCTCCTCAGATGAAGGGACATTTGCATGGGGTTGTAAAGGCCGACTTGATCGATGCCGTCACAGAAAGGTATAGGGTGCCCTAAGGAGAAGTCCAGGACTCGGGAATGTCTTCTCAGATGAAGGGACATTTGCATGGGGTTGTAAAGGATTTGTAGGATTCCACCAGGTACAGATGGAAATGTTCTGCCATCGCTTACTGCGTGAGCTTGAGCAAATTACTTGAATGTTCTACCTCAGTTTTCCCCTCTGTGAAACAGAGAGTGAATAGACTCTTGTGAGATGTAAATGAGGTAAAATACAACGAAATGCTTACCTGACTGCCAGGCACGGAGTAAACAGTCCATCGAGATATTCTTAAAAGCAGTTAGTATGGCACTTAGCACTCAGTGGGTGCTCAGTCCTTAGTCTCAAGACCTCCCTGTCTGGAGAGGAAGTAAGGTAATTCCAGTCGTGGGTGACGTGTATTATGCTACAGACAATTCAGGACTCTGTAGGAGATGGACAGACATATTATCTTTATTGAATGCTTACCACGTGCCAGGCGCTGTGGTAAGTGCTTTATATATGTGCGAATTCATTTAATCCGCCTACGATCCCAGTGATTATCATGACTCAGTAGATGGAGCAACTGAGAAAGGTCCGGTGGCCTGCCCGAGGTCACACACCGCATAACTGCCGGCGTCGAGACTTGGACCCGGGTCGTCCAATCCCAGAGTCCAGGCTCCAAACCGCTACACCGTCGTGAGGATGCGTTCAAAGGGAGGCCAGATCCAGCACGCGGTCAAGCTTGTGGCAAGTGGGAGAGGTTGTGAGCTCTCAGGGGAGGAAAAGATGGATTCCAGCGGGAGAAATCAGAGAAGGCTTCCTGGAGGAGGGAGCGTTTAGGTTGGACTTTGAAGGATTAGTAGGAGTTCACCAGGAAACAAAGGATCTTGAGAAAGACATTCGCTCGTTCAATTACCATATCTTGAAACCTCCTGGGAGCCCAGCCCGAACCAGGTGATTCTGGGGACACAGATGAGTCAGATCTGGGCTTGGCCCTTCCAGGATTGCCCACCTGATGAGAAGGAAGGATGAGGAGAGAGGCGGAAAGGATGGGGTGATGGGAAGGACCGTGGATATGAGGAAATGGGTAAGGGGGAAAAAAAAAGAGAGAGAATGTTCTCATTCTCTTAATCCCACCAAGATCTGGTGGTATTAAGAAAAAGGGGAAAGTACTTGATTCCAGGCAGGTTGGGTACCTGGGTCTTTGCAGTGCTCAGCACGTGAAGAAGGCAGCAGGACATGACACAAGTGAGTTAATCCAGCCAAGACCACATTGCTCAGATGCCTTTGTGGTCTCTGTCTCTCTCAGTGTGACATTCTCTCTCTCTCTCTCTCTCTCTTCTCTCTCTCTCTCTCTCTCTCTCTCTCTCTCTCCTGGATCTTCTTTCTGTGTCTCTACCTCCCCCTCTTATTTCTCGCTCTCTCCCCACCTTGCCCGCATCCTGTCTGCCCACGTGGCTTCTTTCCTCCAAGTCTCGGTCCTTTCTCCTACCTCTAGCTCGATTTCTGCGTGGCTCCAGCTTGACACTGCTTTTTCGTTCGAGATAAACGATAAGCTGTGATCCCGCGACCCCGCCTTAACAATCTTCCTCCTCCAGGCCACAGAATATCCTGTGTCCAGAGGTCATGGGCAATGAGGACTCCCTCTCTCTGGAGCCCCTGAGGAGGTCTCCCCATCCCCATGCCCCCTCCCCCATTTAGCCAAGCCCTGGCCCAGCAGGCGGTCAGCTCATCCCCGACGAGGGACCCCCTGCGCTGCCTCCCTTCTCAAGGCCTCCAGTCGAGGTCCCAGGGCTTCCCCCTCCCCTGTGACATTTCCCAACCCTGATTAATCACAGGGGTGGCCCCAGGGAGGAGGAAGGAGATGGTGTGTGTTCCCATAAAGAAGCTCAGGTGCCAGAGCCAGGCTCCAGGGCCCAGGCACCGGAAGGTCATGAAGCTGGGACTCGTCTGTGCTCTGCTTGCTGTCCTGGCAGGTGAGGCTCCAACTGTCTGTTCCACTGCTCCTCTGTGTTGCCCTTGGCACCCCCAACCCCCTAGGAATCTCTGCCTCTCTCCCATGCCCTCCCATCTTGCTCTTCATCAACCCCTCTGCCTCCCTCCCGCCCCCAGGGACCAGCCGGGCAGATACTAGAGCCATTGGCGCCCAGGAGTGCCAACCCAACTCACAGCCCTGGCAGGCCGGCCTTTTCTACCGCACCCACCTCTTGTGTGGAGCGTCCCTCATCAGTGACCGCTGGCTGCTCACTGCTGCCCACTGTCACAAGCGGTGAGTGACCACTCTGGGGAGGGGGCTGGGGTTAAGGAGAGGGTGACGGCAGGGGTGGGTGGCAAGGGCCTTTGGTAAAGGAGAGAGGGAACTCTAGGTAGGAAGGGTTGAGCCTCTGTTTCAGTTCCCAGAAGCTTAACTCTTAGAATTACAAAGAGTTGATTCTCCTAATTTTCGAGTTTTAAGTAATTCGGTTCTAAAAGTCCAAGATTCAAAGTTTACCCACTAGGAACTCTCAACTCTGACTCAGAGAAATCCAGAATCGTAGGCTCCTAAAGTCTTGGATCCACGAGGTGCTACATTAGCCTCTGAGAATTCTAGAATCCATAGAGTCAGAGCAGCACTGTCCAGTGGGAAATAACGCCGGCCACATGTGTAAGTTTGTTTTCTAGTAGACGTGTTGAAAAAAGGAAAAAGGAAACAAGAAATGTTTATTTTAATAACAGATTTAACTCGATACTTAAAAAATATGATTTCGACATGTAATCAACATTCAAACACCTATGACTGATGCAGTTTACTCTTTTTGTGTGTGTGTGTGTAAGCCCTTGAAATCAGACATGTGTTTTACACATATGACAGATCTCGATTTGGACTAGTCACAGTTCATCTGCTTAGTAGTTGTGCTGAGTCACACAATACCAGAATCTTAGATTCAGAGTCTTCGGGCTAGGTTCATTGGCTGCAGATGCTCACAGTCCTAGATTCAGTAGTCTAGAATACTGTTTCGTAGAATTCTAGAATCTCGAACCAAGAACATTCCAGAAACGTATGTTTATAAATGTCTAGAATCTGGCGGATTTGATATCCCAGAAGGATATCATTCCGGGATCTTGAAATCAGAGAATTCTAGAGTCTCAAACTATTCGAATCGTAGATCCTCAAATTTCCGACGTCACAGATTTATAGAATTCTAGAATGATGACATTCTAGTCTATCGTCCCAGAATATTAGAATTCTAGGCTCGTTAAGTCCTAGGCTTAATTCGGTTAATTTAAAAATCGAAGAGTTTGGGATCCAGAGAAATCTAGAACATTGGACTCTTGGATTGGTAACGTTCTAGAACTCAAGCCTCACAGAATTCTAGAATCATGGATTCCTAGTACGTTAGAATTCTAAAGTACTAGAATCTTAGATTCTGGGCATTCTAATAGAATCCTAGAATCTATCTGATGCAAAAATGATTTCTACATCTCTCTGGAAAGAGGCCGTCCATCCTGCTCTGATGCTGTTCCCTCCAGGAAAGAAGCTCAGATGCTGGTACAAGATGCTGTGTGGGAATTTCCCATCATGCATTGGTCCACGATGGGGCCTCTTTTCGCTCAGGCACATACATCAGGCTAGGAGAACAATGTTCGGATTTCAGCCC